TCTTCAAAATAAAGAACTGACCCGTTTTTTTTAATTTAAAAAAATATATATATACTGCCACGAATAATCTAAGAAAGCAAAAAAGAGAAAACTTCTTTCAGATGTTTTCCCCCACTCACTGACAAACACGGAGAAAATAAGAAAAATCGTACCTATTACTGATGAAAGTGGAGAAACACCCACTCTTCCCATTCACTCCTGGTGAGCATGTAATCTAGCAGCAGCTGCTAACCCAGCAGATGCACCCTGTGGGGCCTGTGCAAACAGCCACCCATGGAACAGGCAGTCCTCTGTGTCCCATTTACCTCCCTGGCTACCGCGTGGAAGCCACAGCCAATCCTGGGCAGGGGTCAGTGGCCAACAGCCTCAGGAGGGAAAATACACAAGGACAATTACATTCCTCTCCCAGGAACTTGCAATCAGGACACAGACTGAACCAGAAAGGTGTTCAGAGATAAGTGAGGGGCCAAGGCTGCCATTTGGGGCCCCACGTAAAGTCAGCAGGCAGGAGGCTGGGCTGCAGTGCAGTAGAGGGCACAGAAAATCTGAAGCCTTGAGAGAGAAAATACAGAGCTTCCTCAATTCTGGCCCATTTTTTTGGAGATACAGCCACATTTCACTGGCCTGGGAGCTCGGTATCATGACAATAAACCTTTCTTCACTTGAGGTAGCAGGTGTCTCTTCTTGGCCACCCAAAGGGCTAAATCTAGAACAGAAAACGTCAACAATAGCAGAGATAAAATCAACAGAACCTTGGACAAATGTGGAGGGTTGGTGACTCCATGGTTGTATCTGGAATAGTACAATCATATTAGGTAAAAGTAATCCTTGGAAAGGTGTGCACTGTGTGTCAACTCTACAAACGAACTATTTCATTGCTAACCTGACACACAGCCCATTCCAGAGTCCAACGCAGGACACGATTAGAAAAGAAGGACTTGGGTTCCTTCTAGCAAGGTAACTGCCCCAGCAACAGACACGTGACAAGCCTAGCCAAACCAGGCCAAAGCAAGAGGCAAAAAAGTCAGCTATGGGGACAACCAGTCTTAACTGGCTGGTAAGACAATCACAATCTCATGGCCAACAGTGGCTACCCTGGGCATTCCACAAAACGAGTAAGTGGGCCTGGAGAGACAGATGACTAGAGGGTAGATGGCAAATGGAAACAGGGATGAAGAGACCAGGCAGCCTTCAAGTGACAAAAGAAACAGTCCCTGGCTCAGAAATCCTGGTCCCCGTGAGCACTGTGCTTTCCGCCTGCGTCTTCGGACGTCTGCAAACTGCCACATCTTTCCTTGAGTTTCTGTTCCTTATGTCAAGGGTGAAGACTGAGCACACAGTATACAGTAAAAGTAGAAAAGAAAAACGTTGACAAGGGTGGAGGGAATGCTATAGAATAACAAGCTCACATCAAAACGGAAATGTGACACATACAGAACAGCTGCGTGTCAACAGGGACGAGCCGGTGACGACCTCCACACTCACAGAGCTGCTAAGCCGTGGTGCACCCACACGGGCCGTACCGTGCGGCCGTCAGAGGCTGCTGCGAAGTCGAGCATCCCCTGCTACCTGAACTCCCGCTCTCTGACTCAGACACCGAGCAGAATCAGCACCGGGACTAGTATTCCAGGACATGGAAAGATGTTCACGAGGCTGCTGAGAAGTCACGCATCCCCTGCTATCTGAACTCACGCTCCCTGACTCAGACACCGAGCAGAATCAGCACGGGTACTAGTATTCCAGGACATGGAAAGATGTTCACGAGATAGCAAGTAAACAAAAGGTTACAAACCAATACACACCGCGTTTCTGTTCAAAGCAGCACATCTACTTCGAGTTGTACCTACACATCAACAATGAGACTGTTTCTGCCTGTACTGTGGTCTTTCTGTGATTCTCAACCCCAATCTAATTTCTTATAAACGATAAAAACACTCCTAAAAACAGACTTTTTCAGAGGCTGCAAATTAGGATTTGGAAAACCCAGCCTTGGCTTCACTGCAGGTCAGGGAGGCAGACGAGTGGCTGGGCTGAGCTGAAGGACAGCAGCAGCCCCGCTGCTCAGGGACAGCTAGTCTCCACAACAGGCTTCATGACAGCCAGCCCTCCCACGTCCTGCCCTCCACACCTTCCCTTCTGCCCGTACAAGGTCTGCCCTGCCCCTAACTCCCTGAGCATGGACTGTCCTCTGTGAGCCCTCTGCTCACCAGCAGCTTAAGTCCTTGCTCCTTCAGAAAGCAGCCTCTGACTCTCTGGGAGCAGTGATTTCTCCCCCTCGGAAACAGGTCTATTTTCACGGTAACAGTTACTCGACATCTCCGTCATCACCGTCAGTGCACTCGAGGGCCACATGGGCAGCTCCAGATCCCTAAAAAGGCGATTTGCTGTAAATGAAATTATATAAGACCAAAATGGAATCGATGTGCACAATGTGTCCACTTCCGTAAAGATCCTGTGAGTGTAAGCCTGGGAAGCAAAAAGATAAAATGGCAGTAAAAGAGCAGAAATCAAATGATTTGTATTGTGCCCCATGGAAAGACAGACTGAGGAAGGGGAGGTATGCAGGGAAGGAGGAATCCAGGCTGGTTCTCCCTGCGCTGTCCCCCATAAACGCCAGAAGGCTACTCCCTCTGTCCTCCGGCCTCCTGGAAGGGGAGAGCGGCCAGGGACATGCAGGCCCATGCAGCTGCTCTTCTCCCCCTGTTGCCCTTCCAGTGGCCTAGAACACGGGCAGTGCCTGGAGGTGAAGTGAAGCAGCCCTTGCCACCAAAAGAATGAAAGCAAAACTGAAAACAAGAAGCCTGGCTCCGGGGTCCTTGCTGACGCTGGTGCGCTACAGCCCCAGTCTGCCAAGTCTGGATTCCTGCTCGTGAGAAAGATAAACCTCCATTCGTTAAAGTCATTGTACAGAAGGGTTTCAGTTCCCCATGCTGCAGGCATTCCTGACAGGTGAGCAGGGGGCTGACAGGAGTTCACCCCGTCTTTCCTCCCCAGGACAGGAGAGGACAGAGCACACTCCCCTCCACTAGCAGGGAGCTCACCACAGCTGGCTCTCCAGCCAGCCGGCACTGGCCCGAACCCCAGTGACTGCCTAAGCAATGCCCCCTGAGCACAGGTCCGCAGGGCCACTCAATCTGGGCTCTCCAAAAGGGCACACACACGTTCTGTTCTGATGATAAACAAGCAAAACAACCTGCTACTCAAGTTACTCCTCTCTCTCCAAGTCAATTCTTCTTTCAAATTTTATTCCCTCAAGTAATTACTAAGAAATTGCTCTAGTAATTATTAATAAGCCTTTCATAATAACCACTCCATGAATAAAACAGGGCTTTAATCCCATGGAAATAAAAACCAAATTTCTGTTTTGAAAGCATTTATATTTACAGGTGTGTTATTACTGTATTTATCATGGTTATAAAAACCTGGATATTCTGAAACTCAGTTATCTCTAGATGCCCACGAAAACTTATTTTCCAGAGAAAATTTAGCTTTTACATCATGAACCATTCTCTTTCAATGCATTTTAATTATTTTTCAAAGTTTTCTACTAATTTTCCCCATTTCGGAAATATAGGCCATCTCAAGTGGGCATATTTCCACATATCGTCCACAGAAAGAACTTAGGCTCAATTTTTAAAATATCCTCACATATGTTCTTTTATTATTTATTAAGCTATAAAATATGGATTAAAAATCTTCTAGGCCAGAATCACTAAATATTAGAAGTGAAATAAAAAATCTTTCTTATGTATAAGCAATTTAGATGTTCCCTTTTCAAAACTAATGCGAACTCATCATTGGTGAAAGAATAAAATAAATGTGAATTAAAGACACGTGGCACTTAGGAAAACCACCAACCTCTCTCAATACAAATAATGGCACCTAAACACGGAAGGTAAAGAAAACTGCTCTCACTTTGGTGAACCTCTTATTTTTAAAGGTAGCCTAATTCTAAGACAGGTTTCTTCTCCAAAATATTGAAATTTTCTCATGATATATAACAAAAACTGCTAGTGGCAGGCTACAATATTTAAATACATCAAAATCTACAGAAAAATCACAAAAGCAATCTTCCTAAAAGAGTACAAGATTAAAAGCTCTCTCTAAAATTCACTGCAATAGGCATGCCTGGGTGGCTCCATCATTAAGTGTCTGCCTTTGGCTCAGGTCATGATCCCAGGGTCTTGGGATCGAGCCCCGCATCGGGCTCCCTGCTCAGTGGGGAGCCTGCTTCTCCCTCTCCCACTCCCCCTGCTTGTGTTCCTTCTCTCATTGTGTCTCTCTCTGTAAAATAAATAAATAAAATTTAAAAAAATAATAAGAAAATAAAATTCACTGCAATAGACTTGGCATTTATCTTTCCCACTAGTTTTCCCAGGAAATCCACACAAACAAAAACCACTCTTCCAAACAGGTCTTCCCTTCATTGGCTGGTTCAGGTGCTCCACTGTCAAAGTCAAGACTTCCATCCAGTTCCCTAGGGTTGAGCCAAGTTCTCTCTTCTGAGATCTCAGGGAAAGGTTTGGCCCCAATCAGGTACCTGCAAAGGTCTGCTGAAAGCGTTGGCGCACAGGCCCGGCTAAACCATGCCCAGTACTGGAGCACCACTCAAATCAGGGGGTCTGCTGACGATTCCTATACAGGTATGACAGATAAAGAATCGTGGGCACTGTTCACTTGAAAAATTAAACCATGCATATTATAGGTGTAGAATATCACCAGTCAGGCTTTTTTGTTGTTTTTAAATTGCCTTAGTTTCTCCGCAGGAAAAAAAATCATTCTTAGATTAACTTACATTTGTAAATGAGAAGTTTAAGTATGGACTTGCATCCTCCTCAAACAAAACTTGTCCCAAGAGGAGTTTTTAAAATGTTAAGAGGTTATGTGTAGGTTTGCCTGTTACAACACGGTGGGAGTCAATTATTTCTTCAGCTCAAATTAATAAATGCATTCTTATTACTACAAACTAAACAAACCCCCCAAAATTTAAGCAACATTACCATACTTGGTGCCTCCAAGTCTAGGTACATTGAAGAACTTCTTATGCGAACTGTCATTCAATGTTTCAATAAGGTACTCAAAGGCGTATCCTGAAAAAAAAATTATACTTTCATTAAACACAGCTACAAAGTACCTTAATTTAAAATGAAAATAACTGGAAATCCACTTTGTCCAAGAGAATTTTCTGCGATGGTGCAAATGTTCTCTATTTGTGAGGTCTAGTAAGACCGCCATTGGCCACATGTGGCTACTGAGCACTTGAAATGTGGCTATAGCCAGGGAGGAACTGAATTTTAAAATTTAACTTTTATTAATTTAAAATTAAATAATCACACATGGCCAGGGTCCACTGTATTGGACAACACAGCTCAAATCATGACTCTTGTCAAATAAAAACAGGTAAGATAATTAACTCCTGAAATGTGGTAACAAAGAATACCCGGGAAGGAGAAACAAGAACGATTTAAATGATGTACAGGCCTTTTAGGAAGTACTGAAGTACTGAAAAATGCTAAGTACAGACAGAACAATCTGAGAACCTGACAACTGTCAGAAGGATTGATTTTTTAAAAAATAAACGAAAGACAAATTTTTACAGAGCATTCAACAACATGGACAAAAGCAAAACCACACCAAAACACAAAACTTAGCAGGAAGACTACTAGGTCTTAGACTGAAGGTAGAAATGAACAAAATTATCTGGGTAAATTAGCAGATTCTTGCCAAGGGAACAAGTCTTTCTGGTTTTGCACATGAACCTGGGGGTCTCACTGGAGCGCTCCCCAGCTCCCAACGTCCGGGGTGGCGGGGGGGGGGGGGAGAAGAGTCTTCAGGTCAGGTCTTTTGTGCAGACTCATCGCTGTGCGTGGGCAGGACCCTCCGTGAGGGCAGCCCCTTGAGCCCAGGGGAGAAGGCAGCACGGCCGCCTCAGAGAGCATGAGTGTTCCCTCTCTTGTTGGGGCTGGGGGAAAGGGGGGATAGGCGGACAGAGGAGCAGGGGGCGAAAGGGTACGGGGGAGGGCAGCAGGGGCAGGAGAGGCAGGGGGCAGGGGAGCAGAGGGGGAAGAGGAAGGGCAGGGGACGGGGAGCAGGAGAGGCAGGGGAGCAGGAGAGGCAGGGGGCAGGGGGGGGGGGGGGGGGGGGGGCGGGGAGAGCCAGCGCCGCAGCGCACAATCCGGAGCCGGCTGACTCGAGCCCGGCCTTGACCGCCCCCGACCCCGGCCCGGGGACCGCAGCAGAGAGAGGGGCTGGGGCCGGGCGGCGGGGCCCAGCAGCGGCCCGCGGGACCCCAGCAAGGAGACGCTGCCCGACCACCCCGCGGACGGGGGCGGCGGGGCGGCGGGCGGCCCCTCCCGACCCCGGCCAGGGCTGCCAAGCAGCGGCCGCGGGCAGCGGCGGGCCCCGCGCAGGCCCGGGCCGGGGCGAGGGCGGCGGGGGGCCCCAGGGAGCGCGGCCCGAGCCCGAGGGCCTCGGCCCAGCTACCCCCGGCGAGGGGAGCGAGCGGCGCGGCGCGGCGCGGGGCGGGCACTGACCTGCACCTGGGGCGTCCATCGCCGGAGACCATAGTATCCCTGCGCGGAGGGGGCCCGCGGGGGAAGGCGGGGGAGGCCGGGCGGGGAGAGGGCAGGAAGGCAGGCGGGCGGCGGGGGAGCAGGCTAGGGGCAGTCTCGCGCAAACACCGCGAGAGCCGCAGCGCCAGGCCGGCCTGCGCTCGCGAGATTTGCCGCCCGACTGTCGCGAGATCTTCGGACGTGGAAACAAAGAAAGACGCGGGGCGGTGCTCCCGGGAGGCGGTGCTCGCGGGCGCCCGGCGCTGGCTGCGGGGACGAGTCCCGGGGGACCCCGCGCTGGCCCCCTCGGACGCTCGGCTCGGCCAGCCGCGGAGTGAGGGTTCCCCGCGTCGCTGCGCCTCCGCCCCCGGCCCCCGCGGGCCCCCCAGCGCCAAGCCGCCTCGGGTCCGGGACGCGTGGCTGCGCGGGCCGAGCCGGGTCCTCAGGCCTTCCCCTCCCATCAGCTTCCGCGACCTGACTGTTGGCCTGGTTTTTTCCTGCCTGTCCCGAAGGCTGCTCAGGCTGTGCCCGCCGCTCGGCGTCGGGGTGTCCGTAGACCCCAGGGCTGTGCCCTGCGCCCCTGCTCCCCGAGCCCCGGCCCGTCCCACCGGGTCCTCTGGCCTCGTTCGGGGTTAGCTGCTTCTTCCCGGGCTACAGCTCCCGAGCCCGGATATGTGTGTCCTTTAGGACACACGTCTCCCCACCAGACCCACGAGTCCTGTCGTCGTTTGTGCCTCGGCGGCTGTCCAAGCCAGGAACCCGCACATCGTCCTTGACTCCTGTACCTTGGATCCTTGACCCAGGACCTGTCCGTGCAAACCCCAATCTGTTTCCCCTTTATTCACCTCTCTAGCCGTACCGCCGGTTCCCACCCCGTTCTAGATTTGAACCCTCCCTGTCTGAACGACAGTCTTCTCAGAAAGAACCCAGGACATGAGTCCTCTTGTAATCTTCATCTTCACGATGATGAACACACACAGTTCAGGAACTTACCCAGCGGTACACCGCCACCAAGTGACTCACTCAGGACTTGAACTCGGTTCAAATGGATGAACAAGCCCACAGGTTCAACTTAATCCTCCATGGACTGGTATCTCACACCTACGGTTCCTCCCCTTTTCCAGGGAACCTCTTTAGGCAGAATCACCTCTCTCACTGTGATAACGTCATGCCCTTTCTGGCTAAACCCTACTCGTCCTCAGTCCTTAGTCCAGATATTATTTCCTACAGGAAATATTCGCTGACCTTCCCCAACCCTGAGTCTGGTTTGGGAACCTGATGAAATGCTTCCCTCTCAGGGCACCTGGGTGGCTCAGTCGCTTAAGCGTCTGACCTTCTGCTGAGGTCATGATCCCAGGATCCTGGGATTGAGTCCCACAAAGTCCCCAGCTTCTTCCTCTGTCTCCTACCCTGCTCATGCTCTCTCTCAAATAAATAAATAAAATCTTAAAAAAAAATGCTTCCCTATCCTATATTGTAGATAATGCACTTTTATTACACTTGATTGTAATTGCTGATTTACGATATTCCCCACATTCCAGTTAGGTGCTTTTAGCTGCATGCAAGAATACCCAACGGACAGTGGCTTAAACAATACAGACCTGTAATTATCTCCCATGGCAAAATCCATAGTAGACTGTTCCGGGGCCGCTGCAGCAAATCAGTCATATCATCAGAGACCCCATCACCTCATGGTTATAAGATGACCACATCATACAGAAACATGATGTCCTACAACGTCCCAAAGCAGAACGGGAACTGGTGCAGATCATCTCTCTCTTTTTATTACTATTTTTTAATGTCTCCACACCCAACATGGGGCTTGAACTCACAACCTCAAGATGAAGAGTCCCATGCTCTCCTGACTGAGCCAGCCAGGCACCCCAGAGCATCTCTCTCTTTTTACCAAAGAACATATCTTCCTGAAGATCCTCTGCAGACCTCTCTTTGACCAGAAATTAGATGAGTTCTTCTCCACCCCATCAAGCCCAACACTCGCTTTCAAGGCATAATGATTTTGTAATGTCTCCTTTGCTATCCTGGCATGAAATTCACAGGTAATATGACTTACACAAAACAATAAAATAAACTGCATGATGCCCTAACTGTAATATAAAGGAAAAATAAAAGGGAAGGAACTTATTAGAAAACATTATTACAATATATAGGACGCAGGCATGTCATTACTACATGACATAATGATGTCATCAGATGCTTGCATCTACTTATAATGGTTTTACAGAATATAATATTAAACGTTTTCTATTTGCATTTGACATTTCAAAATAAGGACTAAATATATTGTGCATAAATATATATCATGAAGGCATAAATGATAAATGCACATACATAATATGATATATGTGCTGTGGGTGGAGACTAATAAAAATATATCGATGACTCAAATATTGGAAGCATTGTCACTGTCGATTTTCTGAAACAGTGAACAATTCTTGGCAAAGTGCCAAACAAAGTAAATTACAACCTCTCCTCTTTATACACAACATTTGCATACCTGGAAGATTCAGTGTACATTAAAACCATAGCCAAATTACTTTTATTTGTAAATGGCGTTAAGTTTTAGGCTCAGATAATTGTAAACAAATCTGTTGTTATTGTTTTCCTGTTTGTGTGGGTGTGTTACCCACCGAAACATTTGGCAGCATGTTCGGTGGGGGCGGTTGTCTGATTCTTTTTGTGCAGCTGTGTCTTGTGGAGTTCAGGCAGCCTAACGTTCGTTAACTGCCAAAAGTGCTCCCCCTCCACGGTAACAACCAAAAACACCCTCCCATTTTCTGAATGTCTTGATTCCAATGAGAAGCACTAAGATCAATCACCGTGTGTCCTATGGCTGGACTCATTATTGCCTTTAAAAACAAACAAACAAACAAACAAAGTTTAGGCTCCTGGGTGGCTGTTGGTTAAGCGGCAAATGGTGGTACAAGCATATGGTTAAGCAAATTGTAGTACATTAGAGTACTACTCAGCAATAAAAGGGAAGGAAGTAATGATACAACAACCTGGTGGACCTCTAGGGAACGAGTTTGAATGAAAAAAAGCCTAAAGCCTAAAGCCTAAAAAAATCCGAAAAGGTTCTATACAGCACGGTTCTATTAGCATAACATTCTTGAAAATGTGGAAATTACAGAAATGGAGAACAGATTAGTGGTTGGCCGGGGGCTCAGGGATGACAGAGTGCAACCGAGAAGGAAAGTGGGTCTGATTATAAAAGGGCAACAAGAGGGATCCTTGGAAATGGTTTGTATCTTCACTGTGGCCATGGTCACGTGAGCGATAAAATCACAAAGAATTACACACACACACACACACACACACACACACCTGGCAAAGGAGCGGAAATCTGAATGAGGTCAAAGGATTGTATCAGTGTCTACATCCTGATCTTGCTCTTGTGCTGTTACATTGGGGAAGACTGGGTGAAGAGTATGCAGCGTTTCTGTTACTTCTTACGGCTGCATTTAAATCTACAATGATCACAAAATAAAAAGGTTTTAAAATGGGTGAATTTCAAGACCTCAATGAACTTGTTTATTTAGTTTTTTAAAGATTTACTTATTTATTTGTCAGAGAGAGAGAGCACAAGCGGGGAAGTGACAGGCAGAGGGAGAAGCAGGCTTCTGGCTGAGCAGGGAGCCCGATCCCAGGACCCCGGCATCATGACCCGAGCCGAAGGCAGACACTTCACCAGCTGAGCCACCCAGGTGCCTCCAAAATTGGAGTTTTTATTAGCAAGGAAGACGAGGCTTACCGGTGGGGTTGGCAACCCCCAGTGTCTGCCACATACCACTAGACTATACCCTCTGGGAGGGCCCGTGCTATCCCCGGAATCTAAAACAGTGCCTGGCACAGAGTAGGTACCAAATAAATGTCTGCCTAATGAATGAAATGACCTGTTCAAGGCTGTACAGCTGGTAACACCAGATTAAAAAGAAAGGCCAGTCATTTGGTTCTCCTTTCAACATTGAGAAAATATGTGTTTAGTTTTTATTTAGAAGAGAGATGAAGAAGTTCACAGGCGAAGAGCAGAGGAGGACCTTCCCGAAGAGGCCACACCCTGACCGTGACCACCTGTGGGCCCTGCAGGTTGCCCTTGGGAACCTCATCTCTCCACCGAAGTCCCAGCCGCATCAGCATTCTCCAAAGAGAAGTTTTAATAATACATTTTTTTTCAAGTTACCTCTCTGCTACGATTTTTAGCACTCTGGTGATATCTTAGTGGCTCTTAGATCAACCACCTGCACAGGTCCATCTCTTTTCCTTTAATTAAACTTTTGATTTTGGAAAAAAAGTTCAAGGATACAAAAATTGTGAGAAGATTATGATAAACTTTCTCACACACGTCACACACGTTATTTAGTGTTAACATTTTGCCACATTTGCTTTATCTCTCTCTCTATATTTATATATTGCATAAGATCCTCAATATTTGGGGGCATTTATTTATTTATTTGCTTATTTTCCAGCTTGAGGTGTAATTGACTGTAGAGGTTTAAGGTGTACACCGTGATGATTTGAGAAACATAAATATTTGGGAATTACAATAAAGTTCGTTAATACGTCTGTCACTGCACATAGTTATGTTTTTTGTGTGAAAACTTTTAAAATCTACTCGCTTAGCAATTTTCAAGTAACAACACAGTATTGCTAAGTATAGTCACCCATCCTCATTGTTTCTTAGTCTAGTTCTTCCTGAACCATTTGAGAGTAAATTACAGAGATCACAACACCTCAGCCCCAAATACTACATCACGTATCCCGAGAACAAGGAAAGTCTCATACACAACCACAGTGATGTGATCAAATTCAGGAAAGTTAACATTGCTACAATACTATCATCTAACTTATAATGTATATTCAAATTTTGCCAACTGTCCCAATATTGTCCTTCCTAGAAACTTCTTTCAATAATCCAGAATCCAATCCAGGATCAAGCATTGCATTTAGATATCACCCCTCTTTTGTCTCCCATAATCTGGAATTATTCCTCTGCTTTTCATTTTCCTTTATGGCACTGACATTCTTGAAGAATACCGGCCTATTGTTTGCA